CCAATTTATCATCTCCGAAGTCCCGCGGTACAGGCTACTTTCCTCCTGGGAGGTCATTTTCACCACAATAAGTTCAGGGACGACTTGCATAGCCTAAGATCCTACTCACACGCCGGGATGGGGCGTACACCAACGTCCAGCTTCTCATGTACGCTCCACCATGGGTTGCTACCCCACTTACGGGGGGGGGGGTTCATCTCAAGGTTGCACGAGAAGATCCCCGCAGGGGTTAGCTTAGCCGGGTTTGAGACGAAAACAAACAAGGGGAGAGGAAGTTTGACAATTGCAATAAAGAAGGAGGCGGGGGATTCACCTCAGCATTTCGCGGGATGCCCCCGAAGGCGTAATAAAAATGAGGGATGGAGGCGTACACGGCTTCTTTTCCTGCCTTTTCATTCTGGTGGACTACTGGTTGCAAACATGCGAACCCCCACCACCGGACGCTCTTCTCGGCTGCCCTCCCCACGCTCACCATGGCGTTTCGTCTGCCTAATCACACACGAATATGGCTGGAAACCAAAGGTCGCCTCTTGCGGAGACGACTCGAACGTTCGCGTGTCCGACCTGCGGTCCTCTTCATCCTTCGGGGTCTCTCAACGGCTGGACGGCGTGCACGGCGGCCGGGCCTGCCACACTGTTCGTTGGCACCCTCTCGATGATAACCTGCTCCTTTCGGCAGGGCTGGACTCGACGGTCAACCTCTACGACCTGCGGCGCTTGGCGGCCCCCCTGCACGTGTTCCGAGGACACTGCCCCTACGCCCTTGCCAGGTGAGCCGGGAATCTGTGCTAGTTTTGGGGTTGCGTTTCGGTCGTTTCCTCGGTTCTGGGGAACGGCGATGGCGTAGTTGGGTGAAGGTCCTGGGAGGCAATTCGAGATAATTCGAATTTGCTGGCCGGGACAACGTTGAGGTGATTCCGATGGATGTCGGGAAGTATGCCTACCTTAACATCGGTTGGGAATTTTTCGGTTTTCCTGGACACCAAACAGCAGTTTTGCGGTAGTACATCTGACGAGCGTTTGTGTGTCGTGGTGTCTCAGATTGGCGTGAAAAACCGCGCCCCCAGCACGTGTGAAGATGCCCCAGGGCTGGGGTTGGGGAGGCTAATATCCGCTATGTCATTCTATGGCATGGTCGGAGATGCAAATCTTCATCTTGTTTTTTTGGCGAGTCTTCGTATCCCCGATATTTTCTTGTCCACAGGTAAACACCCCACTAGCTGTATCGTGTACAACAAGACTCCAATCGACACGGGACACCACGCAATGCTGCGTTGCAGGGCTGTCACGGGACCCATCGTGAAGCCGAAACCGTACAGTTTTGGTGCTAGCACACCTGGCGGGGGGTTTGACGCACTGCAGTATTTAACTGGTGGGGTGCATGTATAGCCTAGCTTACCTCACCAGTGGATTTCCACCTGCAAGACTCCAAGCGATACACAACCACCGGTAGGAGTGTGTGGTTGATGCACACACAGCGCCCAGCAGCGGGATGCAGCTGAGAGGGCGAACAAGTCAAGAAACCCCGCCGCGCAGCGCCAAACACGTCAAACGGTTACCGAACACTGCCTTATCTATTCTTCCAGACATGCTTCCTTCAGCATGAGGGACGGATGTATCTCGCCCTACAAGATACCACGTGACATTGAGGACATGAGGGAGTGTGTTGCTGCGTTGTAGGACTATCGTGGGACCCATCATATAGATGTGGGGGTCCAGTTTAGGTGCCGTCCGGCCGGTGGGGTGTGCGTGTGTGTTCGTCCCATCTATTCTGGCGCCGGTATGTCGGCCTTTTGGCGCATGTTCCTGACTTATCAGCTGGGGTCACGCAGGCACTTGTTTTTCAACGCATATGTATGTCCCACAGGTGGGGCGGATGGCGTCGTTTACCCCTCGCCCTACAAGACTCCAATCGCAACACAGGCACCGGGGCAGGAGTATGTGGCTGATGCACATACGGCACACAGCAGCGGGCAGAGCTGAGGGAAGAGAAAAGAAGAGGGGGGGACAGATCATACCATCCCTCCGCACAGCCTCGAACATGTCAAGTAGAAACTCGAACTCTGCCTTCTCCGATTGCGCACCCCAAGCAGCAACAGGCGAGCATACCAAACAAGCTTACCCTTAGCACCTTCACACTCGGGTTCGTTGACGAAACCATCTGCCCAAAGTCCTTAAAGGCGGCTTGAACGATGGCAACCCCTCACGATCTACAGCAGTGTTTGCAAGGGTCCAATCTACAGTATGCAAGGCAGATTGGTACAAGTAAGGATGTGAACGATTCCACCTAGCTAAGAGCGAAGACACGGCCCCCAAGCGGAGGGTCGCATTGATGGCGACCAGCTACCAGGTCCATCCTAGACGTGTACGATCCTAGCTTCACACTCCCTGTAGAATTTCAATTGCCGGCCTTCAAATTGAAACACGAGGCGTGACTCTGTGTTGTTCTTCGTACGACAGACAGGCGACATGTATTGTGTGAATCATGCGTTGTTCGGACGCCTGATTCGATCCCTTTCTTCTCGTTTTCGGGAAGTTAGTCAATGGGCCAGGTGCAAAAATGAAACCATTTGAGTCTCACTCGAGAGTCGTTCCTTGCGTCGAAACCGAAACGGAAGTGTGCGGAGAGGGTATCCGAAATGAGCGAGGTTTGCATCCCCTATTGGAAACGCACATCATCACACTGTTGTATCGGTTGGTCTCGGGAGCATATTCCAGGTTGTATTTATTCACACATTGCTCACGCAGTGCTGAAAATATCGATCGCCCGCTGGGAAGGCATATTCATTAATTCCTAGCACGTTCCAGAGGCACAGATGCCTGTGAGTGTCGGAATCAAGGTTTTGGTAACAGCGGAACGCCACAACACGTAGACACATACTGTACACATGTGCACCAGCGCCGGTGTGTGTGTGTGTCGTTGCATTGGCGGTACACAGAGTAGGAAATTTTCTTCTTTCGCTGTTTTGTCGCAATGTGTATCATGTAATTCATTCACGGAATTCACTCCCTTTAGGAGATATTGCAATGCCGGCGACGTGCACAATCGTAGCAAGAACCACGAATGGGGCGCTTTGTTGCCGCTCCACTGTACGCACGATATCCTTCAACCCGCGCCCGACCGTCGTTTTTCCGATTAAGATATCAGATCATCTTTCATCACGTACAACCACAGCTTATTTCCCACTGTCGTCTACTGGTGGTGGCAGGCAATTATTGATAAAGGTGCAAGTTCTGCAACGGATACCACACGGAACTGAATACACCCATTGTGAAACTTATGTTGAATCGTATGCCCTTGTCCCTTATGGCGCTGGGTCCATTTCGAGTGTCCACTTCACATGTTTGAGGCTGTGCGGAAAGACGGTGTGATCTGTCCCCCCGGTTCTCTCTCCTCAGCTCTGCCCGCTGCTGTGTGCTGTATGTGTATCGACCACACACTCCTACCACGGTGCTTGTGTTGCCATTGGAGCCTTGTAGGGCGAGAACCAGGTGGTGGGGTAAATAACGCTGTCTACCGCACCGGTAGGATCTGGTGTTTACCCCACCGGCCGTGGCAACACCTACACTGAACCCCCACATCTATATGATGGGTCCCGCGATAGTCCTACAACGCAGCAATACATTCATGTCTTACATGTCGCTTGGCATCTTTTAGGGCGAGACACATCCGTCCCTCATGTTGTTGAAGGAAACATGCCTGGAAGAATGGAGATGGCAGTGTTCGGGAATTGTGATAAATCAACGCGACGAGTCAGTATCGTCGGCGTTGCCTGTCTGAAGCTAATTTGTTTCTTTGCGGGTTTAGTTCGCTGCTGGCTGAGTTTGCTGCGTTGGCAGATCATGACCCGACGGCGGAAGACAGAAAGAACGAAGGAAACAAGAGCTGCCCCGGAAACAACCGCAATAATGTGTACCATATATTTGGTCACCGTACCACACGATTAAACCCATTGGTAAATCTACCCTGAATTCTCATCTGTGGAAAGGAGAGAAAAAGTGTTGTGCTAGGGAAGTTCGCCGGTCAACGTTCGTTGTTCTTGTTGTCACGGTGTAAACAGTCGTCCCGGTGGCTGCTTAGTCAGTCAGCCACACTGCCTTCTAAGCAGGACCTAGACCAAGAACCCATCGGAAGTATATCGCAAAATAACACACTTGTTATACGAAAAAGTAAAATACCCCCAAAAGGGACAAGACATACTTCGAACAAAGAAGAACACCTTCTGTGCTGATGATGATGCCTTTATGGTTTCTGATTATGCACATGATTTTGTTGACATAGATCGGCTGCCGCAACGAATATTTCATCTGAATAATCTGAATCCCTAGATGAGACTCGACTTTGTCTAGAAAGATTCGAGAATAAAGCAATTAGTCGGCGAAAGAGCGACAGAGGCAGGAAGACGGCGACCCGAATAGGAGAGAAACAGCGCGCATGGTCGCACATGGTCGAACACTTCTGGCGCATGTAGCATGGTGGAAAATCGATGGGCGTATCGTAACCATTTTCGTCGTATCATGGCTCATAGACTCTTGTTCGCATTATTGTCAACTCACTCGGCCCACACACATTTTCAGTACTATACCACCTCTGAAATGAACATGATGCCGTGGTCGCTGCCACGCCGACCGTGAGATTCATTTTTTCCCCACATTGTTCGAGAAGCGAAAAAGAGCAATCAGGACGGAAAGATAGAAGGCGAACCGGTCAAGAGGAACAAAACAGCGCGCATGGTCGCACACGTCTGGCGCAAAGTGCAACTTGCTTGCTCGTCGACTCAACTATATGTGCTTTCGTCGTACTATGGATATTGGCACCATGTCGCGTTGGAAACTCACTCGACCCACACACTTAGCCACCACCTGAAGTGAATATTTCGCCGTTGGTTGGCTGTCAAGCGGACTTTGAGATTCGACTTTTGACGTTGTTGTTCGAGAAGCCAAAAAGAGCGATCAAGACAGAAAGATAGAAGGCAAAGCGACCGAGAGGACCGCAAAAGGGGCACCGTGCCACACTTCGGGTGCAACATGCCGCGAGACGTGCGCGCCATAGGTCGAGATCGACCTTTGGAACACGGTGGGGCACGAGAGGCGGAATGGGAATAAGAGTGCGACAGAAATGAATTCGGTCGCAGAGACGGTAGATTACATAGCTTCTAGCTTCAGGGTAGTATGAGAAGTGAAAGCCATTGGGCTGGATTCATTTCTTGAGAGAAGTGAACACATTTTCGAAGTTCATCGAGCGAGGGGGGCCCAAAACCCCGTCAACCCGAAATTCCTTTTTTTCCGAAAATTTTTCACTCTGATCGAACTGAGAATTTATTTCTCCAAAAGCATTCTACAAGAATAGGAGGAGTGGGTGAGGGGCCAGAAAACCCCACCGACTGACTGGGTACTCTTGAAGAAGAGCAGAGAAGAGATTCATTTGTTCAAAAAACTTAGGAGAAGGTGTGAGATTCATTTTTTTTCCGAAACGGTTCCAGACGATCAAAAGAAGAGTGACACAGCAAGACGGCGAAGTGGTGAAGACGAGGAGGAAATGAATCGTCGCACACTTGTTGCTCTGCTGCTGCTCGCGGTCGGGGGTGAACTTCGGCGAGGGGGCAGGGCTCGCGATATGCCCTATCGAGGCACACTCAAGAAACCGCGAAACGTGCGCCGTTGATCGATATCTGTGTGTTGGTTTCTGCCAAGCCAACCCTGAGATTCGAACCTTCCAAGAAGCCCGATGAGGACAGGAAGATGGCGATTCAGTGAAGATGAGAGAGAAACAGCGCGCATGGTAGCGCATGGCCGCACACTTGTGACGTGCGCTACTGCACGACAATGTAGATCAAGCTTGGCGACTGGCCATGATTTGGGATGCCCTTGTTAGGCATACTCGAGATGTCGCGAGCCATGCGCCATAGGTCGAGATCCGCTTTTGAGACACAGGTCGGGCAAGTGTTGTAGGGGAATCGGGATAGGAGGGTAACGAAAATGAATCTAGGCCGGAGAGACTGAAGCTTACAGTTCCGGAAGCATTTGACGTGTTTGGCGCTGCGCGGCGGGGTTCCTTGACCCGTTCGCCCTCTCAGCTGCTGTCGGCTGCCGTGCGCTATGTGTGCATCAACCACACACTCCTACCGGTGGTTGTGTGTCGCTCGTAGTCTTGCAGGTGGAAATCCACGTGGTGGGGTAAGCTAGGCTATGTATGTACCCCACCAGTTAAATACTGATGTAGGTGCGTTAAATCCCCCGCCAGGTGTGCCAGCACCAAACGGTACTGTTGGGGCTTCACGATGGGTCCTGTGATAGCCCTGCAATGCAGCAACACACTGGTGCATGTCCCGCTTCGATTGAAGTCCTGTAGGGGAAGATACAGCTGGTGGGGTGTTTAAGGCTTATCCAGCCCACCTTCGCCTCCTCGCACACACTCGCAAATTTGGCATGCATTGGCCAAGCTTCATGAAAATATCGCCCAAGTATCCCCTCACCCCACCGAGGGGAGGTTTTTGCGATTATTTTATGTATGAAGCGTGGTCAATGCCTGCCAAGTTTTTGGGTGCGTGTGGGGAGGCGGGAGGTCAGATAAGCCACTGCCAGGATCGAAACACACTGTGACCACGCGACCCTTCCCAACGCTTGATGTTACCCCTGCTCGGACCTGATCTATTTGTAATGGACGCAAATCGCACCCACCCCCTTGCTTCATCACGTGTTCCGCGATTGCTTCTGTCCACCTGGTTCGGCCACTGTTTGTCTGTCTTGTATGTTTATGTCTCTTCCTCTCCGTATCTCGTTTTTACGGTGTTCGATCTCTCTCCCTCCTATACCTTAGCTGCTTCCAACTCTGCTTTTGGTACCCCTTGCTCAAGTGCTATCCCTTCTCAAGAACCGCGCCTGCGATGTAAACTCACCGACTTGCCTTGCTCGGCTGCCTCACGCAACATGTATCAATATTTACCAATCCAGGCCCAAGGCCATTCACCGACCGGAGTTCTTGCCGTCCGGGGGAGGCGACCGCGTGAACATCATCACTTGCGGCGAGAGGTCTGAAAATATCTCCATGTACGACGCCGGCAGCGGGGGCACGGTTAGCCGGGGGCTGCTCGGGGACGAGGTAACTCATGTGCATACGCATTTTTTTTTATTTGTTTGTGCGGTTGTGAGTATTGCCGTCGCAGATGTTTGAGGTCGACGGTCCGTTTTTATGTGCTTCTTTGTTGTGGCAAGGCAGGGAAAACAGCGCTGAACGAAGGACACCGGCAAGGGGAGTCAAAGTTCCGAGTGCTACAGTAGACGGGCACCACTATGAGAATAACCAAGCGCAAACTGGGGGACACAACAATTTCAGAAAAATTTCTTCGATCGCGCTTCCCATCCCATTTTGTGTCACATGAAATGAAAGAAACACGCAGACCGACAAAAAGTTTGTCACCTCTTGTTGATATCTATGTACGTGACATCCCGTAGCCTCGAGTGGAGTCGGCCGTTGTCTTTCAGGGCTCTGGCACAGGTGGGGTCACACAGAAAGTTTCTTCGCGAGGGCTTGCCACGCCCAAACCTTGCTTCTTGAACCCTTCACACAGTCTCTAATACGTTTTCCTGAGAATTTATCATGCCTAAACTTCTTGCGTGTTCAGCACAGTTGTTTCCGCCTCCCCGTACTCCTACGTGTGTCGCTACCCGGCATTTCAGGCGTCCGCCTTGGCAGTCGGCATCGCTGATTGGTCGAAAGGTTCGCCGGAAGCGGCCGGGATCGCCGCGGCCCTTCCCGGGGGGAGCGTGGTCTTACTTGAGCCGGTGTGGGGGAGTTAAAGAAGCTGGCTTGTCTTCAGAAGCAACAGCACCGCTTTAGCAAGGCCGCCGACGAAGTGGGGCGCCGTTTTTTTGCTAGGTAACGGCCAGTGAAGCAGGAATCGACGGGTCTTGTTTGCGGCGCATGGCGAACCTTGCAGCTATTTTTGTTGTGGCGGAGATCCTGTTTGTTTGGACACGTGTTTACGCGCGGCTGACAACGCGGACCTCATTCGGACCAAAGGGGAATTTCACTCGTTAGAATCTAAGCCCTTGCGACGTACTGTACTCCACAACATTTCCGGCGCTCTACTTGCTTTCGAAGCAAGCCTCTTTTCACCGAGTTCGGCGAAAGCAGAGGCCCGGATTCTACTGATTTTCGATTTTGAAACGCTTTCAAGCACCTGCATATTGCTAGAGACCCACATACACGTGGGCAAAAGCCGTCGAATCGATCACATCGACGAGTAGGGTTTATGGCGCAAGAGCTGCACTGAATCAGTCGCTCGTAGGCACGCACATGGGCTTTGCGTTGCGGGTATGATTGCACAAAAGGCGGCTCTGAGTGATCGGGTGACTGATTTGCTTCTGTCTTGCGGGGTTCTTCTGACGCATGTTCTGCCGTGTGGATGTGTGTGCGCCGTATCTCTTGTAACTTTCTTTGACAGCGTTTTAGAGTGCCCTCGTGTCGTTTCTTTTGCAGCGTTTAAAGACAGGACGGTTACCACAGACAGCGGTGAATAGCCGATTTTTAAACCCAACAAGAATCCCGATTTGCTGTTGGGGAATCCCCGCACACGCAGTGTACTACCTCCATCTTGCCCTTGATGTAGGTGAGTGCTGGCTCTCAGGTGCCGAGAGTTGGAATAAGAATGTTCAACAAGAGTGGACAAAGAGTGTGCTATTTGGTGCACATTCTGTAGCTGTAATCAAATGAAGTATCAGATTGCCGTGTGCTCACGGCTGCTTCCCCAATTGATTCCCTAGCGCACGTTCTGTAGCTGTAATCAAACATCTGTGTGCTCAGATCTATATTGCTAGGCATCTCAACATGACCAGCTCTGGTCGGCATCGGGCAGGCTGTTGCCCTGTTAGCCCTTGGGAACCGTAAGCCGGCGTGTGGAAACGGCGATAATGCATCATATATATTGCGTCCCCAAACCTGAAGAATAAAAATACACTCACAACAAACACAAGCAACACAAAACCCTAATGCGTCCCCAAAGCTGAAAATATATATATATATTCCCAAAACAAAACATAAGCAACACCAAAAACCCTATTGCGTACCCAAACCTGAATATTAAAACTATACCCAAAACAACAAAAACACAAAAGCAACACCCCAAATCCAACATAGTTTTACACCAACTACCATCCAGCTCTCGCTCTAAATTGGTCTCTCTCCCTCTCAGTAAGTCTATTTTCACCGGCCATGCCATTCCACACGTTCATTGTTGCGTAGATCTAACAGAAATTCAGGGGAGGTATTTATTGTGGTTGTCTTCACACAAAAAACAGTTCCGGTCTCTGTTCAGTACCTACTGCTGCATTTATGGTCCGCTAGTCTATCTGACGCGGACGCCTTCCGTGGCCACAAGCCAACTGCCTCCGACGGGAGGCACACACTTATATAAAGAAAAAAAATCGACCCCAGAAACAATGCTCGAGAACGCTACTGTACCAGGTACGAAGTAATTGTTGATCTACCCAACGAAAAAAAAAACTCAGGAAAACTAACTAGGACACAGACGATCGACCCTGGCCAATAGGGATGAAGGGACGAAAAAGAAAGAAAAAAGAGAAAGACATCGGAAACAAAACGAGACAGGTTCCCTCCATTTACCCTACCACACTACCAAGGTTGTTGCGTCAATTGTGGCTGGCACTTGTCCAATACCAAGGAAACGGGTACCCACCTTTGGGGTGCAGCGGTTCTAATCGCCTGGACAAATCACCTTCCCAAGAGAAAAATCGTCCGTGAGCCATAAAGTACCCTTGGCACAAAACACAGAGAAATAGCAGCTCTGTCCTGACCGCAAAGTCACCGTCAGGAGTCCCATACAGACGCAGATTGCCGTAGCCGGAACTGGAGCACGCGCGAAACAAACGAAGACAATCACCACATCCAAGATTGGTAAAAGCCAATCGAATACCGAATACTCAACATCCTTTGTCATGTTCTGCTAGCCAGTCAGACATGCCTTGGCCACTCAGTCTGTCGGTTTCCGCTTACTTACGGTGGTAGCAGAAGCGTCTCCTAAGCTCTACCTTTCACTTCGCCCGCTACCGTTCAACTTTTCGCTCCATTGACGTCCCAGGTGTTGAGCACACGGTGCTTCCGTGCAAATTTCAGGCAAGGGGGCACCCTTACCCCACGTCACGATCCAAAAACTTTTCCACTGAACAAATTGACAGAGGAAATAGCGGGAGACCTCTCGCACGCTCCAGAATAATCGTGTGCGAGTCGACTGCACTCACACCTCCAACTTTTATGCCTCTTCATTGGAGCCGAGAAACTAACCTACGTCCATATTTATTACGCGACTAGATAGGTCCCGGCTGAGAGTCTCTTCGCACTGTCGATAGAGTTCCCCCATTACGTACCCGGCTCCGTTTCGATTGGTGGCGGGGCCGGAGCAGACAAGAAGGTCGCCAGGCGGGGCCGCTTCCTGGCGCCCATACCCCAGGGTGAACGACCAACTCCTGTACAATAAAAAGAAGCAGGAGTGGCCGCTCTCGCGTGCCACCAACGATATTGCCGAGGCGTCGCCCAGTCTTGCGGTTCACGGTGCGGTCATGAGGGCTGCTCTAAAGTGGCGTCGTTTGGCGTCCAGGTTACAAGGAAGGTCGACGGTTGCAGACAGCATGCTAGGAATGAAATAGTCCAACTGAGAAACACTCAGCACTGCTGCAGTCACCACGGCTGCACCAGAGGGGCGGTCTACGGCGTCGAGGGGACAAAGAAGGCTGAATTCTGCAGCCAACGCGCTCAGCACCTAACAACATTGGTAAGATGAAGTTGTTCGAGAAGATCGATCAAGACAGGAAGGCGGCGAACCCATTAAAGGGGGGTGTACTCATAGTCGTGCATGCCGTAGTCGTTAGACAATTGACCTCGCATCCCTACAAAGCCGGGACGGAGCACGCCGGGTTCTCACCGGACCAGGCTCTCACATCACCAAGCGCGAAGCGCCGTGAGATATTCGGCGAGTCGCATGAAGGGTGCGCTGCATCCTGCTAAGGGTGTTCGGCATCTTGTGCGTACTTCCTTGCGTACGGGTGACAGCTGCGTATGACTTGATGTGTTTTCTGATGCTTCACTTCCTGAGACAGTTGTAAGCACTGTGTAGCTGCCTCGAGAGTGCTTGACCATTTTAACACAACGTGGTGCGATCATTCCCCTTGTGCGGAGTGAGGTTTCTCGACCCCGCACAACATGATCTACTCGATCACCATAATGGATATCGCAAAAAAAAAAACAGAGGTAAAAAAAAAAACGGTAACCTGGTTGCCGAGCTCACGAAGTGAATTGGCTCGTTTTACAACGTCTTTGCCTAGCGACGAAAACCCAACCCCGATGGCATGGCAAACACCGAGGGGGGGGCTTCTTCTACAACGTCGTTGCCAAGCGACGAAAACCCAACCCCGATGGCAAACACCGAGGGGGGGGCTTCTTCTACAACGTCGTTGCCAAGCGACGAAAACCCAACCCCGATGGCAAACACCGTGGGGGGGCGATTAAGGGGAGGGAAATAGCGCGCATGGTCGCACACTCATGTGGTCGCACACTTCTGGCTAATGCAGCGCGCTTGCACACTGACGCACAGTATGCGCTTTCGTCTTCCTATCATGACGTATACGTATTGGCACTACTAGGTCGCGTTGATAACTCACTCGGCTGGAACAATTCCATTATTCTAAACAACCACTTACTGCAGTTGCATCTTCTGCCGTCCTACATGGTCGACCCACATTTTCGACCAAAAATAGACTTGACACCCACCACTCACCGTTGGCTCTGAGACACCGCGCTCTGGTCTTCAATAGGACTTCGTCTGCGATATTTTTCATCAGATGCTTCGATATCTAGTCTATCATCACAAAACATCACACTGTCCACACCTGGTGCTGCTGTAATCATGCCGTGCAATCTACAAAATCGTCACAAGCATGAATATTTGAACACCGCTGTCGGCACTTCAACAGGTCCCGCAACTCCCGCCTACTCCACCTGTTGTATCTTCGGCCTTCCTATATTATCCTTCCACCCATCACATCTTCGTTGGGGCCGACATTAGTATCAACGACCGCCTGGCTAGCAACACAAGTATTACTCTTTGATTGCCACATACGCACCCCAAATTCCGTTGTATCCGACTGCCACAATCAACGACCCGCGCTTTTGTTTATCTCTTCGACACTTAACGCCACGCCCGGACCCACGCAGCCAACAACTGTGGTCTACATTCGCAGTGGACGCTTCACATCCACTATCGTTCGCATTTCGTGTTTGCGGCCTACGCCACTTATTTATCGGGTGAGACTGTTTTGGTGATGTATTAACTTCACGGGAGGTAGACGACCGTCCTTCACACGGACGAAAGAGGGAGTACTCAAAGAGCGGCTCCCACAGCAAGGAGGGGCCCCGTGAATCATCGCGGTGCCCCCTATCAAACGGTTATCTTACCAGTCTGCG